CTAATCCCTCCCCCACAGACACTTTTCCAGTGGAGTCAACTACTAGCTACTGAGCTTGGAAATGTGGCAGGCTGGGGCGCCTGTCCTGGATAGGAGAGTAGCCCATCTCCATCTGAGGAGATGTGTGTCTGGAGATCGCCACTGGGCATCTCCCAAACCCTCCCCCCTCATACTCTTACACTGGCCTTGGCCCTTGCTGTTATATTCCATTTTTGATACACACAGGTAAAGATTCTGGAACATCACATATTCGCCTTCATCTGTAGTACTGAAAGAAATCTTTTTTTAAAATTTTTTATTTATTTTTGTCTTTTTTTAATGTTTTATTTCTGAGAGAGAGAGAGGGAGAGAGAGAGCGAGCGAGCGTGAGCAGGGCAGGGTCAGAGAGAGAGGGAGGTAAAGAATCCAAAGCAGGCTCCAGGCTCTGAGCTGTCAGCACAGAGACCAATGCGGGGCTTGAACCCACAAACCGTGAGATCATGAGCCGAAGTTGGATGCTTAACCAACTGAGCCACCCAGGGGCCCCTGTTTATTTATTTTTGAAGAACAGAAAGAGAGAGAGACAGAACACAAGCAGCAGAGGGGCAGAGAGAGATTGAGACACCGAATCTGAACCAGGCTCCAGGCTCTGCAGCTGTCGTCACGGAGCCCGATTCAGGGCTCGAACTCACTGACCTGAGATTGTGACTTGAACCAAAGTCGGACGCTTAACCAACTGAGCCACCCAGGCGTCCCCTGGAAGAAATCTTTAAGGAAAGCAGAGTCAGTCTCAGTTCCAGAGAGAAAGCACCGCATCTAATTCCAAAGCAGCCTTTCAGGATGGGGAGATGCTCTAGAAAAACCCATCAGTAGGTCATCAACAATCCCTCGCAGGCCCAGGGAGAAAGAAGGGGTGGCAGAAGGGACATCCCAGGGGACACTGAGACGCAGGACCTCTGAGAACAGCTCCAGGCAGGGAGGGGCCTGCCGGTGAAGGCAAATGTGGGAATGCTCACTCCAGCTGCCACTTGGGGGGAAAAAGATGTAAGACCCAAGGAATGGGAAGAGCAGGCCGGGGAGGGCAGGGGGGGTTGCCTCCTTCTGTCCACGACTAAGGCTCACTGGGTGTGCGGGCTATACCAGCTCCTCCACTCCTCAGTGGCTTGACGATTCTATGCCACCTGCTGGCATCCATGTCCGTGAGAAAGGCGGGGCCACAGGAATACCGTCACTGCAGTGTCGTTCTGAGATAGAAATGGGTCACCTCAGGGGACCGCCAGCAGCCCCCCTCTGGCACAGGAACGCAAAGGTATGCCTGTCTTCTCCTCGCCACCGCACCCTCCCAGAGAACACACTGCTGGTGGCTCAGAGACTTCACCAAATCCCCCGTGGAGATTTTCCACACAAGAGATACCCAAGATGGAAGACATGTTCTGCCACAGGACTCAGTAAAACTTGTAATGGGGATGGAGAAAAAAGAAGTGACCTCTAAGAGTTTTCTCACCTCCAAAAATAAATAATTAAACATTTAGTTAAAATATTTAAATTGATTTCCCACTGATTTAAATATTTAGTATGAGGGCTCCAACGAAGTCAAATATAGAACTTCTGGCTTCCTGATATAGAGTTTCAACAACCAACTTACAGACCAAAAATTACCTGAAGGACATCTCTAGTTTTATTTTAAATCCTGCCTTTTTTCACAAAGGATGGAAGATCCCTTTAAGAAAAAAAGTAAAATCAGAGGGAAGCAGGTAGTTTTAGAACCTGGAGAAAATCAAAACACAGAAACAGGTCAAGACAGAGCAGAAACTATTCATAGATTCCTACTAAGTTGCTACAGTTGAGCTTTAATTTTGCTTCAAGTTCATTGTTTACAGTCCAATTATTCGCCACATGTTTCTGACACATTTTCAAGTGTGTCAAACGTAGAGTACACTGGGCAGTAACAGTGCAAGGAGTACCTACTGACATCTCCACCAAAGTAGAAGAGATGTCATGGCCGCCTCTGGAATATTCTTCAAACAAAATGGAGAGCAGGATGGACGAGAAGGCCACTGTGTCAGGAAGTTGATTCTAAATTTTTTTTTTAATATTTTTTATTTATTTCTGAGAGAGAGAGAGAGACAGCATGAGCAGGGGAGGGTCATAGAGAGAGGGAGACACAGACTGAAACAGGCTCCAGGCTCTGAGCTGGCAGTCAGCACAGGGCCCGACGCAGGGCTCGAACCCACGAACCATGAGATCATGACCTAAGCGAAAGTCGGACGCTTAACCGACTAAGCCACCCAGGCGCCCCAAGGAAGTTGATTCTAAAATGATCTAAGATAACTCCTTGCCACCTAAACATTGCCCAGAGCCAGCTACTCGGAAGGTCAAGGTTGACAAAACCAAAGCTGTGAATGGGCTACGTGCACTCGTGAAAGAATCTTCCACGACAAATAGGAAGAGCTCAGTAGGTTCATAATTTTCAACGGAAGTTCTGAAAGCCTAGCCAGAAGGCAGAATTATGGGTTTCTGTACCTAGCGAGCAAAGCCAGAATGTTCTTCGAGAAATAATAGTTTGAAGGATGCACTCTAATACATGGGTCCAGTAAACTCCCAAAAGAATACTGTCAAGGTGATTTTGTTCTGGAAATGTTTCAAAGCAGATACTACCAAGCTTTCTACCACAGCTACAGAAAAGAAATCTCACATACTTACATGTAGAGGCTAAAAAAGTCAAACTCACAGAAGCAGAGAGTGGAACGGTAGTTGCCAGGGACTCGGGTGTGGGAGAAATGGGGAGCTGTTGACCAAAGAGAACAAACTTTAAGAGAGAGAGAGAGAAAATGAGCCTTCAGTTGTAAGATGAGTAAGTTCTAGAGATTTCATGTACAACATGGTGACTACAGTTAATAATACCTTATTGTCTACTTGAAATGTGCTGAGAGTAGATCTTAAATGTTCTCACCACACACACGCACACGCACGTACACGCACACCCCAAAAGGTAACTTTGTGACATAGTGGATGTGTCAATTAGCTTAGCTGTGGCCACTATTTCATACTGCACACATACACCAAAACATCACACTGTGTATCTTAAATTTGTATGATTTTTATTTGTCCATGGTAATTCAACAAAGCTGGGAAAATGTAAGTAGAACCAATTAGGGAAAACGCTGTCTCGTAAGTTGATGCGCTATGTATGTTAGGTATGAGGCGTTAAAAATAATGATCTTAGGGGCGCCTGGGTGGCTCAGTCGGTTAAGCGTCCGACTTCAGCTCAGGTCATGATCTCACAGTTTGTGGGTTCAAGCCCCGCACTGGGCTCTGTGCTGACAGCTCAGAGCCTGGAGCCTGCTTCAGATTCCGTGTCTCCCTCCCTCTCTGACCCTCCCCTGCTCACGCTGTCTCTCTCTCTCTCAGAAATAAATTTAAAAAAAATTTTTTAAAAAGATAATGATTTTAGTTTCAGACCAATTAATACTCAGCCATTCTTTGTGGCAGCAGAGGTGAGGTGATAATCTCTGTACTGCCGGGCAGCCACACACACACACACACACACACACACACACACACACGCTTCTACCGAAGTGTTACCACAGAGAGTGTGATTTTATTGGAGGGTTTCTTTCCCGCCAGATGACATTTTGAGGTTAGGGACAATGTCTTATCAATTTTTATTCTCAGCACCCAACGGAGAGCCTTGAGCACAAATAAACTCAATAAATGCGTTCCATGAATGGGATCCAGACCATTCGGCAGACCATTCAGACCACTGAAACCGCGTCAGACTCGACCTCTTCGCAAACGCCCTTCGTCTCTGTTCTGTCATGTCACTCAAATGGGCCGAGCTCTAAGCGAAGCCTGAAGGCATCCCCACCTGCTCCTGACACAACAATCAATAGAAGATACTCTGAGAACCGAGTTCAACCAGCTACGGACGCAGCCACGCAACTGACCACAATTCTATGGACTCTGAGTTGTCCTCGAGCTGATCAGAGGACATGTTCCGAATGTTTTCACAGAGATCCAAGTAGAAATCTACAGCAGCCTTCTGATCTTCTAGGCTAGTAACCTCGGGAAAAAGAAACGGGGTTCGCTTGGCATGATTTGTTCTTCATGAAACGATTCTTGCTTTCGGTGATTGCTACTTCCTTCCTGCAAGCACACAACCAATCATCTGCTGAACACTGTTTCAGGATGCTGCCAAGGATAGGGAGAAAAATAATAATAATTGAATTGTAGAGTCTAGAACAGCACCCTCCTATGGAGATATAATGCGAGCCACAGATGCAATCCATATATGTTATTTCAAATCCTCCTGGTATATTACAAACTAAAAAGGAAAATATGAAATGAATTTCGATAATAGATTTTATTCGATTCAATCAATCCAATATATGATCATGTTAACCTGCAATACAAAAAATACTCATGAGTTACTTTGCATTCTGTTTTCACACGGAATCTGCAAAACTTGGGATATATCGCATTTCCAGGGTACCTCAAGTCATGCTAGCCACACAGCCAGTGCTCCGTAGCCACAGGTGGCTGTCATCTTGGACAGCGTGGGTCTGGAATTTCTTGTCACTTCTTGAAAAACCAGGGTATTTATCTTGATTCTGGCACCTCTCGTCTTCTCCATGATCTCGGGATTGTGTCCAATGCCTTGATTCCAGCTGCAAACTCCTTCAGGGTCTGAGAGATCATTCACCTCAATCTTGAGATGCAAGGCACTCATGCAGCAGAGTGGCTTAAGGCTGAAGCATATATTCACAAGAAGGTGCTGGCCTGAATGCGATTCATGGCCCTCTATCAAGTCGTACAATAGTATAAGGCAGAAACCTCTTTATGCCCTTGCATTCAAGTTATTTAAACATCATAAAAAACATGATGGTTTTTTATTCAGACCATGTGTGGCCAAGGAAAATAATCAGAGAGGAGGCATGACAGAAGCTATTTAGGGTGATCAGGATTGCATGGAGTGGAGCGGAGAGGAAGGGGCAGTCGAGGCAGAAGCAACAGCAGGTGCGATGCAGGGAGATGTCAGAGGCACACGGGAGCCGCCCTGGGAAGAGCAGGTACGGAATGTTAACAAGACCTGGTTTGAAGCATGCGGTCCGGGCTTGGAGCAGGTGAGCGATGTGACAGACCGATACCTCGGCTGATTCTGGAGACGGTAGAATAGAGGCAGGAGGGGGAGAAGGCTCAGGTTCGGAAAGGAGAAGATGGCCAAGGACTGAACTAAGGGGAAGATGCACTGCGAATGCAGAGAGTCAGGGCGCCTGGGTGGCTCAGCCAGTTAAGCTGCCAACTCTTTGCCCGGACTCAGGTGGTGATTCACGGTCATGGGATGGAGCCCCTCACTGGGCTCTGTGCTGACAGTGTGGAGCCTGCTTGGGATTCTCTCTCTCTCTCTCTCTCTCTCTGCCCCTCCCCACTGTGGGCGCTCCCTCCCTCTCTCTCTCAAAAGAAATAATCTTAAGAAAAGAGAACGCAAAGAAGCGTAAGCAGGAGAGATATTTCAGACTCAGAGACAGAGAGGATGTCAAGGGAGGCCAGGGTCTTAACTTCAATATCAAGATGCTCCCAAATTAGCTGGGAAGAACCACCCATCTGAAGGCCTGTCTCCCTCCCGGGCACATTCCTGACGTCAGCTCAGATGCAGGGGAAAGAATTCACCCTTTCCAAATGCATGCTTTTCATGACTCCTACACTGGCATTTCACTAGGCCACAAAGCATCGACTAATCGATCAAAAATCTATGAGCACAGACTAAAGCTGCCTTTCCTGCCGGTAGGTCTGCTATTTCAGGTTTGAGGAATTTACACTTTTCCTGGGAGAGGGAAGCTTCTTCTAGGAGTTTTGCTTCCTTACTTTTCAAAATGCAAGGGGAAAAAGGCCAGCTCACATCATGCTCCTTTTATAGAAGCTTCTGTCTCAAGAGGGGCTGGAGGGGCCGAAAAGTGGCGGAAGAAAGAGAACGTGATGAAGCTTTATTTTTCTCCCGAAATAAAAAGATGAACCTTTGCTTCGCTGATGTTGCGTCTCCCGCGTCACGCAGGCAGCGCTGGGATGCGCTGGTCCGCATTCGCAAAGCACACTGACAATTTCAACAAGGGCACCAGGACTCTTCAGAGAAGGGACGCGGTCAGAGGCAGGAGCGAGGTCACTTCCATTCTCCTCAACAGGCAGGGACCTGGCATTCAGGCTAAAGAAGTGTATGCATCAACCTGACTGGGCCACCAGGGGCCCGATACCTGGTTAAGCAAGTATGCTCCTGTAAGGCCCTTTCTGGGTGAGATGAACACTTGAATCTGTCCGCTGAGTAAAGCAGGGTGCCGTCGTCCATGATGTGGGTGGGCCTCATCTAGTCTGTGGAGGGCCGGGACACCACAGAAGGGTAGAGGGGACCATCTGATCTCCGCCGGACTCTGCGAGCTGAGACATCGGTCTTGCCGCCCCCACCCCCACCCCCTCCCCCCACTGGAATTTACACCATGTCTCCAGAAGACAGATGGGACTTCCCAGCCTCGGTATCTGCATGAGCTACTTCCTTATAACAAATCTCCTTTAAAAAGAGATGGAGATAGAGGGAGCGACGGGAATCTATTGATTCTGTTTCTCAGGAAGACACTGACTAACACAAGGTCTGTATGACTAACGCACGCTATCTGGCAAAATACAAAGTCCAGGTTAAAATGAGGATATTTAAGTATTTCAGACACCAAAGGTATACACATGTTTGATCACGTCTTAGTATCCTGACTCCAAAGGTCTCGGCGATGCTGTCTCTTGATCATTAACTCACAGTATCTAGACCCCTTTTGGGAAAGGTCCGGAGGGCAGACAGAGCTTTTCAACAGCGGAAAGGCTCACACTGGAATTTCTCTGGAAAAGGCATGTGGAAATAGCAACGGGGCATTAAGAACTACAGCAGCTCGGTCCTGTGCTGGGGAATCCTGAAAGGAAGAGAGGAAAGGCATCAGAGAGGAAAGGCAGGCGCTATGAGCTGGAGCAGGTGACATTAGCGGCAGGGCAGAGCCACTTCTAGCTGGAAAATGTGGCCACTGTGAAGTTCATATGGGACACTGGACCCTCACACTCACACTCACACACACTCAACTAAAGGACATGCATGGTACTCTTATTATTTCTCTGGAATATTCACCTAAAACCAATTTCCAGGGTGCCAGGGTGGCTCAGTCAGTTGAGCGTCCGACTTCAGCTCAGGTCATAATCTCGCGGTTCATGGGTTCGAGCCCCGCATTGGGCTCTGTGCTGACAGCTTGGAGCCTGGAGCCTGCGTCTGATTCTGTGCCTCCCTCTCTCTCTGACCCTCCCCGGCTCGTGCTCTGTCTCTCTCTCTCAAAAATATATGAACATTTAAAAAAGTTATTTAAAAAACCAACTGCCAAACAATACAGGTAGATAATTATTTCAACTTGCCACAAAACGTAGATCTCTATGGTTGGAATACAAATATCAATCCACTAACAGGAATTGGAAAGAATAAAATCTTCACTAAATTAAACAGCTGAGTTGCTAGATAGCCAGTCACTCCCCTCAAATATGGTGGCCACAATGGGGCGCCTGGGTGGCTTAGTCGGTTAAGCATCCGACTTTCGCTTAGGTCATGATCTCGCGGATCGTGGGTTTGAGCCCCGCGTCGGGCTCTGTGCTGACTGCCAGCTCAGAGCCTGGAGCCTGTTTCAGTCTGTGACTCCCTCTCTCTCTGACCCTCCCCTGCTCACGCCGTCTCTCTCTCTCTCTCTCTCTCCTAGAAATAAATAAAAAAAAAACGTTAAAAAAAAAAAAAAAGATGGTGGCCACACTGACCAAAGCACTCTACGTGGTCTACATGGTTATACACCCGATCTACGCTGCAGGTTAGACCAAAGCCCGCAGAGCGAGGAAGAGAACCCATGACCAGTCATATTCGGAATCAACACAAGGATTCCTCTTCTTCGCTCATGGTCACTAAACAAGAACAAAAGGTGCTGGGAAGAACAGCGTCTGATTCTTAAACATCACAACATTCCAATTAACAATCATCTGAATGAGCACTGGCCAGGGAGAGATTAAAAGGATTTTTCAAATCCAACTCGTAGTCAAGAGGACGACGAGACACAGACGTGCTTGATTCACGGACCCACCATGGAAGCGATGGCCCCTTGGTGGCCAGGGAAAGAAAGAGGACTAACAGAATGCACGCGCAAGTGGATACATGCACACATCTATGATGGCAGAGAGTCTGCGCCGGGTGTGAAAATAAGTGCTTAGATGTTATTCCCTGAACTTAACCCAAAGGCCGCTGTCAACAAGGAAGCAATGTGAAAGATTAAACACCTGGGAAGAACTATATATAAATATTTCCTTTCGCAAAACACAAACAGCATCAAAATGCCCCAACTAAAGTCATTCTAATGAGGTGGCGGCGTCCTAAGTGACCGAATAGAACTCGGGAGCAGGGGAGAGAGCCCCCGGTCCAGACTGCTGACTGCGGCTCCGGCCGCGATTTCAGCACCAGCCTCTGGACTGGCCAGCGCAGTGTCACAAGCGCTGGTCGCTTTTCTACAGCGGGTGTGTCTCTCTGCCATGTTTACTCTTGTGGTTTTTATAGGAGGACGAGGTGCCTGAGAGCCGGCATCTCAGACTTTAGGGCCTTCAAGGTCCCAACAAGCAAGGCTCTCTTCACCAATAGGTCCCTCGCACCCTGTTCGGTGAGCGCGTAGGAAGCGTGCCAGGTGCCCGGCATGGTTCTAGGCGATGTGGCTTCGGCACCTTACGTGACAGCATCCCTTTCACCCTGGAAAATGCATCTTCGATATGTAAACAAGTTCTCCAGTTTTGGTGAGGCATGGGGGCTGTGAGAAAATACAGCAGGACAATGGGAAACAGGGTGGTTGGGGAAGGGGCTACTTTCGCGTCAGTGGTCAGGGTGAGTCTCTGCACAAGCGACTTTCATCCTGTGACCCGTAGATGAGAACGTATAAGAGTGACGGAGTGGGGCGCCTGGCTGGCTCTGTCGGTTAAGCGCCTGACTCTTGGCTCCAATGGTTCAAGACCCCTGTATCAGGCTCTGCGCTGATGGAGCGAAGCCTCCTTGGGATTCTCTCTGTCTCTTTCTCTCTCTCTCCCACCTACCCCATGCTCTCTCTCTAAAACAAATAAACATTAAAAAAGAAAAAAAGACAGATGGTACAAGGCATTAAATCTGTGACGCAGTAACACGTAACAATGCATCTCAATGGAGCGCCCGGCATTTTGCAAGCATCGGATTACTTCATCCTCACAGCGATCCTACGCTGTAGATTATCCCCATTTACCAGATCAGGAAACTGAGGTTCCAGAAGCCTCCACAACTCACCCAAGTTCACACAGAGCCCATCTTCACACCCAGACAGACTCAACCATAAAACTTTCTCTCAGTGTCTCAGCCATGGGCTTAACTACTTGCTGGCCTACAACTAAGTGTTTGGCTTAGAATCCTCACGGCCCTGACCGGCCCTCACCTTGCCTCACCCTGCCTGCTCCCGGTGTAACAGAAATAAAGCTTGTAATTCCCAAGGGCTCTGCCACCCCGTTTTGAATGCGCCCACAGTGTCCGTGACTCCCCTTGAACCTGACACTAACAGTCCGTAGCGCGTCTGGGGGCAGTAGAATCTGCCTTCTCGACATGTTTTTAAAGTATCAGAAAGCCTACTTACGCCGGACGCAATCATCTACACCGGCTTCTGATCCTCAGGTAGGGAATTCCGCTACATATGGCCCCCCCAGCTCCTTCCCAATAACAAGATTCGGTTTGTATCACTGACGTAGAAGTAGAAATAAAACGCAAATCAGTGAGCCTCTCACCTTGAGCTCCAGAACGTACCGTATTTCACCAAATACAAGACACTTGAATTTTCCCATTGGAACACCTGAAATGAGGATTCCTGTCACAAGGGGGGGGGGGGGGATGTATCCCAGTTTACCGGGCGGTATGTTTTCTTTCTTAGTATCACATACAATAATGGTGCATCTTAAGCTCAATAGTGGCCTAGGTGAGGAGACATTCAAACCTGTGCAAATATCAGGTTCCCCACCCCCATCTCCTTTGTTTCCTTCCAGCCCAATTGGCTCCTCGTTTCTGCTCTTTCCCGACAGGCCGTTCTCCACGTGAGCTGCAGATCTGCACACCAGAGCCTGGTCCTCCAGGCCTCACACCCTCTACAACAGCTCCCTCTACTTTAGAATAAACAGAAACTCTACCTGCCATGGCCTTCAAGGCCTTGCTGACCTGGATCCTCTGCTTCAAGCTCCCATTCTTCACAAAGGCTGGTTCTGCCTGCCTCAGGGCCTTTGCACAAGCCACCCTCGCTTCCCAGAGACCTTCCAGAGGTTGGCCTCCTCCTTTTTTTTTTTCCACTTAAGTCTCAGCTCAAACACCCTTCTTGGAGCCTTCTCGGACCCCCAGCCCAGCTCAGATGGCCATGGTCACTCCTGACTGCACTTATTACTGCTTTAAACTAGCCTTTCAGTTTTTGTTTATTGTATTACCTTTTGCCTCCACTTATACCGTAAAGTCTCAAAGATGAAGAAACCTTGTCTTTCTTGAGCACTGCTTATCCCCAGTACCTGGGCACACGAAGAATCTTCTATAGCTATCCATTTAACATAATTACCATAATAGAATATATTACTAAGCTACATTCATTTTTATAGTTACTTTAAATTTTTTTTTAAGTTTCTTTATTTTGAGGGTGGGAGCAGAGAGAGAATCCCGCAAGGATCTCCACTGTCAGCACAAAGCCCAATGTGGGGCTCGAATTCACAAACTGAGATTATGACCTGAGCTGAAATCAAGAGTTGGACGCTTAACTGACTGAGCCACCCAGGCGCCCCTCATAGTTACTTCCTTTTCATTATGTTCCAGCCAATGGGACCAAAAAAAAAATGCTGACAATGATCATTTTGAAGTATATCTGTGACTCCTCCCGAAAAAGACAAAAAGGGGGGGGTGAGAGAGAAAGAACGAATGAACAAAAGAAAGAATGAAAGAACAAAAGAACGAAAAAGAGGGGCGCCTGGGTGGCTTAGTCGGTTAAGCGTCCGACTTTCGCTTAGGTCATGATCTCGCGGTTCGTGGGTTCGAGCCCCGCGTCGGGCTCTGTGCTGACTGCCAGCTCGGAACCTGGAGCCTGTTTCAGTCTGTGACTCCCTCTCTCTCTGACCCTCCCCTGCTCACGCTGTCTATCTCTCTCTCTCCTAGAAATAAATAAAACATTAAAAAAAAAAAAAGAACGAAAAAGAGAACGAAAGAAAGAAAGAAAAAAAGGGAAGAAAGAAGCTTCCAGGGGGGCTTATGAGGAGCAAATGCTTTGCCTTCCCAGATAACCGCTCAGAAATTTCCCATATGCTTCTAAATTGTATCTTTGAAAACTTTATCTGGAACTGGATAATTTCAAGACCCACTGATTTTGCTCTGATGTATCTGTAAAACATACCACAGAATTCTTGTAATTCTTCTAGAAAACCTGTCTGCCAATGACATATTGTTTCCTTTTGCTTAGTATTCACCTTTGAACTTCCCTCTAAAATGTTTACAATTTTATACCCCAGCCTTAGCTCCAGTTTAAAATTGTTTAAATCATCCACAGGGTCACTATTTTTATCACCAAGCGTACCCTGTAAAGAGGAAGTAATCTGCTTCATCTACTAACTACTCAAGTTTCTAAAACAAAACAAACCAAAAACTGAGTCTTAAGTCTTTGACTGCTGCGTTCTTATGGATTCTTTTCGTGAGACTCCATGTTAAAAACGTAAACGTTACAAGCAGTCCTTTCTCATAAGGAGGAGGAAACCTAACGTGTCAGAATAGTTAGATGCATGACTTAAGGTCATTCATTTTTGTTATTACGAAAGAGCATCTAGAAACCAACCCAGGCTTGAAAACAGGAGGGAAGTGTATTCTGCAAAAATTCTGAAACCTTGCCTGCACCCTAATTTTTGGCAGTTAATTGTGTGGAAGATGACATACACAAACCATGACACGTTATATTTCTTACTACTTTCTCCCAGATCTTCCGTGTCCAACGAGCCTGCAACTTAGCCATTCAAACTTCAGAACCAACGCTCCCTTTAGATTCTTTGGTAAACATTTTGGGCAGAATGTGTGTCTTCTTCTGAACAATTCTCCAAACCTACTTTTTTGTATTTCCGTCACGATTTCCATCTTAGAGACCACGAGAATCATGAAATTCAGGTCTGGCTAAAAGGTAAAACTGAAAAAAATGAATACACTGAAAGGAGCACTTAGCCAATGGTTCATTATTAATCGTCATAACGTATTTAATTATTGGATGTTTTTAAGTGATGAACGAATGAGTAAATGACTAGTAGTAAATGAATAAATGAATAAAGCTCCCTTAACCCAAGGGAAAGAAAGTTGGGGGCGGGGGGAGGCAAGAGAAGCTAAGACTTTCACCAGATCACCTGAGCCAGAAAACCAGAAATAGTCTCAACATTATTTCATAATGTAAGCGGTCTACAGTGGCCTTTCCGTAGTTCAAGGTGGTCAAACCAGTCATCCTTTCTCCTCAGCCCTCTTAAAAAAAACATCTTTAGGAAGCCTGGGTGGCTCAGTCGGTTAAGCGTCCGACTTCGACACAGGTCATGATCTCATGGCTCGTGGGTTCGAGCCCCGCATCAGGCTCGCTGCTTGACAGCTCAGAGCCTGGAGCCTGTTTCAGATTCTGTGTCTCCCTCTCTTTCTGACCCTCCCCTGCTCATGCTCTCTCTCTCTCTCTCTCTCTCTCAGAAATATATAAAACATTTAAAAGATTTTTTAAAAAAAAGAATCAGTCTTTAATAAGCTATTGCAAAATGTTAAGAGGTTGCCTCTAAACATTAAAATTAGCTTAATTTCTCCTGTTTGGGACCCCTGAATGACTAAACGCTGCCCAGGAATTTGAGAGCATGTCGCTCCGTTATAAAGAAGAGATCTGTTGGTATCTAGCCCAAAAAGAATGTAATGAGCACCTCCTGGATGTGCAAATCAGAGGTTATCCTGCTCAGTGTGGGGGCAAGATCACGGGCTCCAGGGACACACAGAGCCCAGGGGTGAAAGCACTGCTTTGCTACTTATTAGCTACGTGCTCAGCCAGTCACTCCGCGTCACCAACAGAAAGGAGATAACAACTATCCTGCTTGGGAATAAAGAGAAATGCACTGTCAACTGTCCCCGAGCCGGTCCACAGAGACAACTCAGATTACGGTCGAGAAAGCCTTCTTCTGAATCTTCTGATTCACTCACTACCCCGGGTGCTGAACTAAACAGAATGAATGTATTTTTTTCTCGGATGAGTCATGGCTTTGAAGACCTTCAGAGTCTTTATCCTGAATATCAATTCTCATTGCATCATACGGGGAGTCAGAAAAATGGTAAAATTGAGAATCAATGAGAGGCTGCTCTCTTTTTTTTAAACGTTTGCTTATTCATTTTTGAGACAGACAGAGAGAGAGAAATAGGGAGGGGCAGAGGGGGCAGAGAGAGACAGAGGGAGGCAGAATCCCAAGCAGGTTCTGCACCGTTAGCACAGAGCCCTGTGCAGGGCTCGAACTCATGAACTGTGACATCAGGACCTGAGCCGAAATCAAGAATCGGATGGTCAACCGGCTGAGCCACCCAGGTGCCCCAAGAAGTTGTTTTCTTAAATAAAGTCATGATGTAACTGGGTTTCTCATCATTTGTTTTCCTCTCTTAAAAGGTAAGTATTGACAAAAGGTACAGGTTAAAGGGTGCCCGGGTAGTCAGGGGGTGAAGCGTTAGACTCTCGATTTCAGCTCAGGTCATCATCTCAGTCATGAGATCGAGCCCCCCGTCAGGGAGCCTGCTTGAGATTCTCTCCCCCTCTTTCTACCCCTCTCCCCTCTAAAATTAAAAAAAAAAAAAAATAGGTCCAGGTAAGCTGGACATCCTCGAGGCTCAGAACAATCAACCTTATTCTACCCTGGAAACAGAAGAGTAAAGAGTACAGTTGATTAAATCACATTTTTACAGGAAAGGTTCATCTTAACACCTGGAATACCATGGCTTTTCAGAGAGAAAACTGTGGCCGCGTAAATAGTCTAAAAGAGTCGGAAAAACAAAGGACAGGCTTTTTTTTTTTTTACAAAGTGTATTCCTAAAAAGACTGTTAGACAGTATCCGTGGGGTAAGAGTATGTTTTGGGGAGAGAAGGAAGGGATTACTAAAGTAATCCCTCCTCCACTACTTGATCACCAAGATTATCCACAGCGCCACCTACCGCCACACTGTGTCTACGGCAGCTTGGGGACAGCAGGGCCCCAGGAGTTAAAGCCATGCCCTTGCTGAGCTAAGTAAACTGTTGAGGAATGAAAGAGATACCGTTTCAAAGTTAAAGGGGTTGGGGGAAGGGAGCGAGGAAACCTCACCATGCATGTAAACTGATGATCTTTTAAAATATCTAGGTAGCAGACATAATCATTTCGTTACTGACACATGGCAAGTCAGTAGTTTGAATTTTTCGTAGGTTTGCTAATTAGGCTGCTCTAAAGATCGGAAGCATAAGTAGGAATTACCGGATCTGGCTGATGTAGATACAGTGTACACATTTGTATTTTATCGCCTTTGGACCCAGTGCCAGTTACCTAACTGTTGTGCCGACATGGCTCTTTCAAGTTCAAATGGAAGTACTGTTATCAAGCTAGAGAACCAGGGGGCTCAGAATGGGGTCCAGAGACTGGGTTTTCCTAATGTCTACGCTTCTCCTCAATTAGCCCTTCAGGATAATTAAATCTCCTTACTATGAAACGTACCTAGATATGACTGTTCTGGACTATGTTCTTGCCCTTACCGATCTTGTGCAGAAGAAAGCAGAGAACCGATGGTCAGTCGTAACAAAGCCACCACCGGATCTCCATTCTGCCCTAGAACTAAACCAGTCACTTAAAACAGACCATGACTTAGAAAATGTTCCATTTTAAAAACAAAACAACTGCTTTCCAAACAGAAAAGGACACGGACTGATAATAAAAATGAAAAAGAAAACTACGGTGACACTCCCCTAGCGCTGTGTTCCAAGCACTGCTCAAAGCGCTTTACAGATTATCAAGGTTGACAACGCACGGCCACCTCCCTGTTCGATTAGTGACTTTCCTGTCGTTAAGATCTGAACAAGCACCGTAAATACCACAGGATAAATCGATGGGATGTTCCGGACCAAGAATTCTGGCTTATCAACACCCTCGCCCTTAGGTTAAAATAATTATGCTTATTAATAAATAGCTCATCTGAATGACCAGGGGTTGTGACGTCACTAAACACGTACGAGTGATACAGGTATTTTCCAGGGAAGGGCTCTAAGTGTGAATGGGGGTGGGGTGGGGTGGGGGAATGCTGGATATGTATCTTCAACACCAACAAGGGAAATGGGGGAAATGAAAGTCATTCTATTTACATTGCAAAACCGCTGACTCGACCATCACGCTCCCCTTCTCAAAAACAGACCGGTTTGCAGTCCTCATAATGCCAGCCATGCAGTGGCTGCCAGACGGGTGCCAGATTTTGCACAGGGCATGGCCGCGAGGGAAAACCCACGGTGCGCCTGAACCCTGGGCAGCAGGGGAAAGCCCGTCCGGCTCTGTAGCTCAGGAAGCGCGCAGCAACTCGCCAGGGTGAAGAAGCCGGGCACCAGGTGCTTTCCTTCCACTTCCCCGAGGACCTGAAGCAACAGCAAAGTGACCCGCGCCCCCTCCCCCAAGCCTGCGCGGGGCACAACTGTCACTGCCGCGGCCCCACGCCGCTCCTGCTTCCGACGACGGCCACAGGCCCCCAGGCTGCGCGGCGGGCACCCGCGGTCCCCACCGCCGGCACGCGCGGGGCCGCGAGTCGGGAGCGCCGCCGGGGCCCGGGGCACGAGTGAGCCGAGGATAATCCCATTCCCTTTCAAATCCGTACGCTTTCAAAGAAAAGTGGAGACGAGGGAGGCCCTGGGTGGAGCTGGAGGGGGAACCACATGCAAACTTTCAGAGCCTCTGAATCTGCATTTCTGGCGAGAGTCTCCCAGCCGGCGATTAGGGGATCCAGATACCCCCCTGCGCCCCCCACCCCCGTTACTTAGCCCCCGAGGCTGGAGACCCCGCGAGGAGACGCACCGAGCGGAGCCCGGGTCCCTCGCCCACCCGCTCCCCCAGCAGCGGGCAGCAGGCGCGCTCCGGGAGCCCGGCCTCCCCGCCCGCCGGGCCGCGCAGCCGGGCGCCTCCCCTCGCGGCCCACGCCGCCGGCCGGGGTCCGTCCGGGCCGGTGCGGCTCCCGGACCCGGCCGGATGCACAGCCGGGCCGGGCGCCGAGGCTCGGCCGCGCGCCTCCCGGGCATTGTCCGCAGCCGGGGCGCCGCGCGGCCCCCGCCCCCCTACCCGGCCCGGCCCCGCCTTACCTCGGCCGCGCTCCCCGGCCCCGGACGCTGCGGCCCCGGCCGGGCGCCGAGCTCCCGGGGACGACGGCGAGGAAGATCGGGCCCGCCAGAAACGGGGGCCGAGCGCGGGCCGCACGGGGGCCGCCGAGTCCGGGCGCCGGCCCCGCGGGGCCACGGACGGAGCGCCGGCCGCGCGAGCCCGGGGCCCGGGACGCAAGGCCGTGGAGCGCCCGGCTGGCGGCGGCCGCGGTCGCTCGCTCCGCGCCGAGGGGGAGGGCTGGGCTGGCTTCGCGGAGCGCGAGGGAGGGAACTTGGAGCGAGTTGCCGCGGCCCAGAGCGCGTGTCCCCGCCGAGTGTGCACGCCCCCATAGGGCGCCCCGCCCCGCCCCCGCCCCGCCCCTCCGCAGCCCTCCCCGGGCCCGCCCCCGCCCCCGCCCCCGCCCGCACCCCCGCTCGCAGCCGGGCCACCTCGCCCAGCCCTGTGCCCTCCTCCACTCCCACCCTGGTCCCGCCTCCACACCCCTCCCACAGCCAGGCGTCAGACCCCTTCCGCACCCCCACCCGGGTGGGGGGAATCCGCAGGCTCCGCGCTGCCGGGAAGCCCCAGATCCGGCCACCGCGCACGGGGGACCTGGAGTCTCTTGTGACTGTGATAACCGCACCTGGTAGTCAGCCCGTCAGATGATCTGAGAGCCTGACATTTTCTGCGCGCTAACTTCCACATACTCTGGGGAGCCTGCTTAGCATTTGCAGACTTCATGTCTGAAGGCATTTTTAAGACTCCAAAAAACGTTTGGAGAAAACAGCAGAGAATAGTTTTAGAAATCACAGGCACGATGTACGGCCCGTGGAGCCTGGGCCGGCTGATGTTTCCAAGCGGACTAAATGTTTCAGGGTGTATCATGATTCATGTTCATACTGTAGGGTTTGTAAATGCTTTTTCGTTAGAGGTGCTTATTAATCCGCTTGGTTGGTTTTTTGAGGGCTTTGTTGTTTTAGGAATACTGAGCACATTCTGGTTTAGGTTTTGCTTTTGGGAACTCCGGTAGAGGAAATCCATATTTATCGAAACGACTGAATGAGCTACGAACTCAAAACATAATTACTTCTCTAAAATATTCAGCGGAGATTCCTTGATACCTTTTGTACATTTGAAATAAAACTATATTCATCGCATTTGCTCAGAAAGAGCCTCTATATTTGAACTATGTGGCTTGTGTCAGTCCAGTTCAGAAATTATCAAGTAAAAGCTCACGCTTCCACAATAAAGTTTTGGCTACTTAGAAGAGAACCATTATAAGCAAGCGACATGATACTGGGTTTTAGACAGAACTTTCCTTCCGCCTACTAAGTCATTCCATGTGATGCTCACACATTATGCTGTGGTCTCTGTTAAATCCGAAAGTCATGTAATGGCAGAATAAAGGTATTTTGTGTAGCAAATTGGAACTAACATCTCGGATCTCAAAGTAAGCTATTAAAAAAGAGGAACTTCTTTGCCCCAACCTCTTCCTTGAGGGAATTACTCTTTCACACTGTGCAGGAGATACCTTTCCTGCCTTTTCAGGGGCACGTGACCCAAGGTTGCCAATGAGAGTACGTCTCATCCTCTGCGCACAAAGGGAAGGGGGGAAATACAGAGGGTCTAATCTGGGAAAATGGGGGTCCTTTTTCGGATTGATATTGACGGCTTCTGAGATCGTGCCACGCAAGACAGAGGTAGCCCGTTAGCGAGTGAGGCCAGAAGAAGAAAGCCAAGTGAGCAGTAGAGCCGGGAAGAGTATGGATGGCATTGATGAGCTCCTCCTTGCAGCCATGCCTGAAACCAGTCAAAACCCCTGGATTTCTGAGGAAATGCACCAATAAACGGTCTTTCTCGCTTCCTGGGAGTTGGGTTTCTTTCCAAAATAAGGCCATAAAAGATTCCCAGGTGATCCAGGCTCTGAAAATCAGGAATGTCGCCCATGAGTCCTAGCTTCTCTGTCAGCTAAATTGCTTCTTCAGAATAAAATATGTGCCAAGACGGTCATTTAGTAGTAAGTCCTAACTTTTAAAAGGGCTAAGCTTCTCATTTAAGGTATTACTGTTGTCCAGTGCAGACTTAGCATTTTCACATCGCCCTCCCCAAAACCAAAAATTAATAAAAGATGTGGTTAGCAAACCAGAGAAAAAGCATGTCTAAACCAGAACATCCCAGTAGATTTTTTTGTCTTGTCAATTACTCCACTACAACGTGCCTTCACAATCCCCCGTATTTGCTGACATGGGACATTTCCTCTTCCCTGGATTGAAAATTTTAGGGCCTGCTACAGACTTTCAGGGGCTGTTGAAATTGGTTTGTTGTGCTGGAATTTTATTGTGTTGCATACTGTTTAGGAGAAGTGGGCCATTGGCCTATGCTTGGAATTCTTTTGTTCCACAGAACTCGTTGTCTGTAAAACTATGTGACAATATTTGGCTAGTGCCCTAATGAGCATCTGTACACTAATCTGTACATTGCTTGACCATTACTCACAGGTCACCATGAACAGTAGGAGTTTGGGGGAGCAAGGGAGGGGGTCAGAAAGACCCAAAGGCATTGCTCTGATCCTCTGATTGCACGAGTGGTTTCTAAAGGGAGGAGTTTTCGCTAGTTTTTCTTCAGATGGATAGGTACTTGGCCATGTCCATAACTAGTGACATTTCATGCGTGAAGGCCGAGGACTTGAATAACAAGAGTATATCACAAGTAGCTTTGAGCCCCACAGAAAGAAAACACAAGTAGGTGAGCCATCTCCAGAAACATGACAGGGAATCTTAGGAGGAAAAGTAAAGAATTCTGGAATCCAGGTCCACCTCTAAGTGCCACTTGTTCAAAGGACTGGCAGTGATTCCCCAAGGGAAAATTTCAGCCCAGTATTCAGAGGCCCTCCACATCCTTGTGCTGATCCGTGTAATGTCTCTGAGATTTCCTTACCCTAGAGGCGGTCAGGAATCTCTCATTTAACCTGGGTCCCCCTCGGTTCAGAGCCTACCCTAGAAAAATGGCACACACCAATGATTTTCAAACCATGAAAAGGAATCCTTAACAACGCCAGGTCTCCAGGTTAGGGGAAGGAGGGATAGGCACATATACTTTTTTAGGAGTTCTCCCAAGAGATCGTAAGGATCAGTTTAAGGTAAACAAGTGGTAAGGTAAACAAGGTCTCTGAATTCGTGTGCTTCGTCTCGATCACGAGGAGGAAAAAAGACCCCTGAGAAACCATCAGATCAGACTCCATTGACAGAATTGTATGGAAAATTAAAGTTACTGATTGAACAAGATCAACTTGTCTTTTTTCCTGAACAGCCTACAGTTCTTGCGAGGTTATAGAGAAAGCAGTGAGGACTTCTCCGTAGGATTTGCAGAAGCCATCACACTGTAAAAGGACAGCTCACAGCCAGGCAGAGATAAGAGAATCACTAACTAGAAAAACATCGGCAGTTGTTACAGGAAGAGGTTACTCCACCAGAGGCAACAGCCCGAGGGTTATCTCCTATTGCACATTTCAAGTTTATTACATGTTCATGCTGATGATCGGAGAAATCAAAACAATTGAGTTATGGTCACGAATACTGACCTACATCATTTAATACTGGTAACAGCTACCATCTACTGAGTATTTGGTCTGTGCTAGGCAATTTACATGCCTCATTTCTAATTGCAGCAATGCCCCCAAGCATAAGTATTATAACCCCCATTTTATGAACAAGAAGCTCCGGCCCACGGAAGGTTAGTCACATGGCCAAGGTCACAGACTTAGTGATCAAAGGATGTAAAGGCTGGTCCAGGGGACCTCAAAGCCTATATATTTTTTACTCTAAACCAAACTTGCCCGAGAGTCATCTGTTTAATAAGATCATACCCAGCCACATGTGCCTATTTAAATTTAAATGAATTAAAATTGAATTGGATGAAGACCTCAATTTCGCAGTCACACTAGCCACTTTTCAGGTGTCCAAAAGCCACGGATAGCCCCACTGGATGGCACAGATAAAAAACATTGCCTTAGTAATCATTGCAGAAAGTCAGCACTGATGTTTCACGTATTTGTCTGTATCAGCAACGAAGGCACTGTTCTTTCTGATTGAAGTTTTCAAGGACATGACTCCAACTATTTCGATGGATGGAATTCTTTCTAAAACAGGTAATACATTGATGTTCCTGTGTCTTAGTCCGTTTGAACTGCTCTTCACAAAAAATACCAGAGATTGTATGGCTTATAAATAACAGAAATTCTTTCCTCACGGTTCTGTAGGTTGGGAAGCCTGAGGTCAGGATGCCAACAGAGTCAGTGACTAGTGACAGCCCACTTCCTGGATCATAGATGGGGATCTTCTTACTGTGTCCTCAAGTGGCAGAATGGAGAAGGGAGCACGGAGCTCTCTGGGGTCTCTTTTATGAGGACTTCATCCTCATGACCTAATCACCCCCAAAGGCTATGCCTACTGACACCATCAGTTGAGGGGGTTACGATTTCAACACGGACTTTTGGAGTACGCAAACATGAATCACACCCTGCTTAATGGAAGAGCACACTGAACAAAATGCCTCTTTAATGCCTCAATGGACCCAAACAGCATCGAAACTTATGCTTCCCTTTCCTCCTCTGGTGTCTCTCTTCCTCATCTTCACTTCTTGTTTCTCTCAGACTATCCGCCGCATTATACTGCTCATAGATGTTCCGCCCAGCCTGCTTCTAATTCTGTTTCTATTTCTTCCTCTGTGCTGTTCTCCAATTACATGCCCCCAACTACTGCTGATTTTCCAGGGACTCCAGAATGTTGACCTCCAACTTCCACCTAGTTTTCTAATCTTCAGAGCAGGTTGGTTTTGTTTTGTTTTGTTTTTTGTTTTTTGTTTTTCTTTCTCTTAGCTCTCTACTAGACTAGTGCTATTCAGAGCACTGCCTATAGACTGAGCAGTCATAGTCTGTAAATTGATTATTGTTGTTCTGGGACAAGATCAGGTTAATAAGTAGAAGCTGGAGTTTAGAGACTTTTATAGCAATTTGTTGTTGCTGGAAGGTTATAGTGTATTTTATAGTATATACCCAAAGAGTACACCACAGTGGATTGCAAGAGATGTTTGCAAGATGAGCAAACATTTCTAATAAATTTTATCTTGGTAAATGAGTGATGTCTTGTGATATGAGTCATACATGACATCAAATGTCACATGATCACATCTGAGCCAATGGTTCTTGAAATTCACTTTGATACACAAGTGCTTTGCATGACAAGCATGTTTCAGGAATGAGTTATGCTCGCAAACTAAGGTTTTACTGACTGTACATGACTCCACCTGACTGTCTCCTACACCCCTCATGCTCATTCACCACCTATCAATAATTAAAGTTCTTCTTCTCCCCGTCATGCACTGCACTGATGCCCCCACTCTTCAATCCCCTGCAGGAAACAGGAGATAGAATACAAGGAACTACCTACAAAAGTTCTTGAGGAGCTGAAGCACAAACAAGAAAAGGGAAGTCACCCTAGATTTTAGTGGGAGCCAGAAACTCTACCACAAAGAGCACAGATAAAGGACAAGTTGGTATCATGGGCACCCAGGAGCTGGAGCTGATGACCAAATGCCCCCCGGATGCTGAGACTATGGGGGGCACATGGGATGCTGCCTTTTCAGTTGAACGGAATGAACTGATTTTC